TCTAAGATACTGCTAAAATCAGATAAAGTCTGGAAAATTGGGAAAAACAAACTATTTATGTCTCAAAGAATATGATTAGTTATATATTTCAAGTCTGTCTTCTGGCTGTAAAGAGACATATCTGAAAAGCATGTGAGTTATACTACAAAAACCCTGATCATAAATGAACCCAGGATACCTCAGTCTGGACAGGACAGACCAGCTTAGAGGCAGCAAGAGCTGACAGGCTATGGGCAGAGCAACCATGGCCTTAAAAAAGAAGATGAATTTGGGACAAATAAAAGGAATTGCTGCTTTAGGTAGAAGTAAACAGTTAATGCTAGAGCTTCAAAATGTGTTGGAAATGGAAATTGCTGCAGGAAGTGTTCAGAAAAATTCATAACTGAGAGACTAGCAAGAGATCCTTGTATGCTTTGGATAAATTCATGATCATTGGGGACTGTCATGGTGAAGAAGATGCATTGCATTTCCCTATAACAAGTCCCTTGCTAATTTTGCCAGACAGAATATTCTGCTGGATGGACCACTGGCCTGCCCTCACCAGCACTTTCCATGATCTGATTGACACAGGAGAGCTCCTTAAAAAACAATCCTTGGGAACTCATTTGCCAGAAATCATGCACCTATGGAAATAAAATGAAGGACATTATTTTTATGCATTATTTTCTACATTCTTGCCATTGTGAAGCACCTGTGCCCTCACACTGCTCAGGAAACTGAAATAGAACACCGACCTAGGGAGGCTTGTTTACTGCTACATTTTCCATTTTTGCCGAAAGGTTCCCATGGGCATCGTCGTGCCAGTAGTGTGAATTCTCTCCTCACAGATGCACAGGCCTTCCTTCTGGCCTTTCCCCCAACCCTCTCCTAATTTACTCAGATGATGGCCACCAATGGGACACTTCTTTTGTCTGACTGGGATGACAGATGGCAGAGCTTCCACTGGGATCAGCATTAATAGGACTTGGGGAGCTTCTGAGTCTGAATTGAGAGGCCATTCCTCTCTGGGCTCCAGAGACTTAGTACATCATATTTTGAATCCATCTTTGCACTTACCTTATAGGGAAAAGGGAAGAGGGAGAAAGAGGTAAGTATACGGTTGTATTTAGCATTTACTTTTAGGAGAATAAACAGTGGACTTGAGCTAAAGGCACCAGTGTGACCAAATCACTAACCATTTATCCCCTTTATTACTGAAGTTAAAATTCCCAGAAAAAAATATTTTAACACACCCTTTGAAAAGAGATGATTTATTTTTATAAGCTGTAGCTCAGCTTGTAAAATGAAAGCTCATACATACTGCAGCAAACCATCTGTCGGGGGGATCCAGATGAGCTAAACAGATGCAACAATTCAAGTTATTTCTGACATGCATAAATAAAACTAGCTAGGAATCAGGATTAAAAAATACTCAAATCCTAAAGGCTTTTAAAATGTCAATGGGAACTCATCAGTGTCAGATAACCCTCACATATAGAGCATTTCATTGGGAGAGAGATTTTTTTTTTTTTAATTCCTAGCTTTGTCTTTCTCGAGGACTCAGAACATAACTGCTATTTACATAACAGCAAAGAACTCAGAATAGTTGATAAATAACCAGAGAGACTTCTCTCAGGCTACCTCGTATTTTTTGAATTATAGGGAAAGCAGATTCTGAATGGATAAAAGGAAAAGCTTTAGGTAAAAACAGTGAGAACTTACTGAGTGCTTGTTTCATGGCAGGCAATGTTTTAAGTGCCTTGTACATATTTATTAATTTCATCCTCACTGCAATCCTATGGGATAAGTACCATCACTGTCCCCATTTAACAGGTGAAAATACTGAACCTCAAAGAGGTTAAAGAGCTTGACAAGGGCCCTGCCACAAGTTAGCAGCAGGGCTGGAATCTACACACCAAATCTTTACATTCCATTGCCTCAGCAGGCACTGAACGTCTCTTCCAGATCACAGAGAAATGATAATTGAGACCATCAAGCCATCCTCGACCCTGGAAGAATCCCAGCCATCCTTGTCTAGGCTCTTCTGGTGCAGAACAAACACAGAGAAAGCATTAGACAGAGCTGTCTGGCAGTCTGTAGGATCCTTTTCTAGCCCTGTCTCCAGCTTCTTCTAGACCTTTCTCCAGTCATGTTCTGCTTTGGGACCTCCTCTGTTTTGGCCCCAGCTCTGAACTTTCTAACTCCTCTCAGGTATGCCTGAGAGGACTTCTTACTGACTACCTCATTTAAAATTTTTATTTATTTATTTGGCTGCATCAGGGCTTGATTGGGGCATGCAGGATCTTTGTTGTGTCCGGCAGGATCTTTCGTTGCCCCTCAGAGTCTCTAGTTGTGGTACATGGGCTCTGGAGCTCATAGCCTCCGTAGTTGTGGCACATGGGCTGAGTTGCACTCTGTGGCATGTGGGATCCTAGTTCTTCCACCAGGGATCGAACCCAGATCCTCTGCATTGCAAGGCAGATTCTTAACCACTGGACCACCAGGGATGTCCCTACCCCATTTCTATTGAAATGTGTATTCTGCCCCTTGGGTTTTATTTGATAAGGCTTATAGAAAGTACATAAATGCTGAGAAAAAAATGCGAGGAATTCTGATTACAGGAAATGTTTCACAGTAGCTGTATTTTTCAAAGTATGGTCCTCTGGCTACCTGCATAGGCATCACTGGTGGTGCTCCAGAGAATGGCAGATTCCAGGCTCCACCTCCTACCTGAGGCATCCGACTCTGGGTGTGTGGCTGATGGATCGTTTACAAACACATGCTCTCCAGGTGATTCCCATACAAACTAAAGTTTCAGAACTGTTGACAGATAGAGAGTGTTTCATGCTTAATGATCCCAGGGGTGATTCTATATTTACTGACCAGGAAAGCATTAAGGTCTCCCTACAAAAAGAAGCAGAACTTGGAGGAAGCTATCAAGCTAGCATTTGTGGTTCTCTTGGATGTTTGTGGGCTACTAACTATTGAGCATATTAAAATACAACATAGTGCACTATGTTTTAGGGATTTTACCTGGGTTTGCCCGGAAACAACTATTTTACAATATCAAGTAAAGTCAAAGGCCTTTTAGGGGAGATGGGTGGTACTCCAGAATGGCTTCAGCAACCTCTTTAGATTCACAGAACAGAGAGAACAACAGAGACCAAACAAAAGGGGGAACGTTCTGATTTTCTTCAGTTTCCCTGCGTCGGGAAGATTCCCTGGAGGAGGGCATAGCAACCCACCCCAGTATTCCAGCCTGGAGAATCCCACGGACAGAGGAGCCTGGTGAGCTACAGTCCACAGGGTCACAAAGAGTCAGACATGGCTGAAGTGACTTGGTACACACACATGCATTCTTAAGTAGAACATTCCAAATTATGTAAGCTTTGGGCACCACAAAACTTGCCCCTACCCTTGTCTATGAATGACAGCATATATGACAAAGCTATGCATAAAAGCCCTGAATTAAATATTTTTAACAGTTTTATTTTCCTTTCTGGCCAATGGACTCTCTGAGCCTCCCTCCCCAGCTCTCCTCTCCTTTTTTTAAACTTGATGTTCTGCACTCAAACAGGATATTTTTGAAAAGCCTTCGGATAGTCAGAGACAATATTAGTGCCATGATGGTCTGAGACAAGAGCTGATAGTAAGAACAGATGGTTCCGGCAAAAGCCCACCCAAAGGGATATGATGGTACCATGTGTGTGATGGCTGTTTTAGAAGTCTGAGAGGGCAGCGTGCTGCAGAGATTAAGTGGGGACTCTGAAACCACACTATGTGACCTGAACTCAAATTGATTGATTTACCCAGCAGATTTAATAGATGGGCCTCATTCATTTTGAATAGGAAAAGAAACCTGCTATATCTTCCCTATTCATGAGCTCATTCTCCAATTTAGGAAGGTCGCCTCATGCTCAAAGCAAAAAACAGCCTTCAAGTTGGGAAGCAAAGGTTTTTTGCAGCACTCAGATGTTCACGTTCTCTGCGCTCAGGCTATTTTTATTCGGCAGCACAGACGGTCGTGTAAGCACAGATTTCTTTGGCAGTTTTTATTATAGCAGGTGTAGGATCCTAGGCCATTGTCCTTAAAACACACTCATTCACTACCTGCATTTGAACAGCTTGAGAACTAATGCCATTCTTTATTTGATTATGTAGCTTACTGATTCTTGTTAAAAAAAGAATTAAAAACATAACTCCAAGAAGCCTTGTTTTTTAGATGAGAATGACTGAGATGTCATGAAAGAATATTATAATAAATCACATTCAAGCCATTTCAAGAGCAGGACACATTTGAAAATGGAATAATCTAAGGATCCACAAGAGAATGACTTGAGGCAAACATGAGCCTTGCCACAGCAGTAAGTTTCACTCAATCAAATAAGAAGTGGCCTGAACTCCCTAAAGGCGCGTGGTCTGACTGGAGCTGTAGGATACCATTGTTTTGATCTCAGCAGCAAATGAAGAAGAAAGGACAAAGAGTATTCATGTTGAAAAAATATACTGAGCTGTATGTTGTGAAAAAGAAACCCACCTAATGATCAAAATCCAGGCAGAGTGGCCTATGGAGTGTGGCAGAGACAGCTAGTGATATTCCTAGGCTAGAATACAAGACCTGATGCCACGGGGCCGCTCAGTGGCAGGTCATGTCTCTCTGTTCTCCTTGACTCTGGGTGGGGCTGTCTCACTAGGTTATCCTCATGGAATGTGAGTGGAGGTGACATGTTCTGTTTCCAGGCCAGGTGGTTGAGAAACAGACAAACCCTCTCAGTCATTTTCCCCATTTTCTTTATTCCCATTTGCCCACTGGATGCTAAAGCTGAAATCGTTAAAGCACCAGGAACTTAAGTCCAGAATGATGGTCCAGAGCCCCCCACTGATCTGGAACCACCTTGCACTGCTAAGTGAGTAAAACTCAACTATATTGCCAGATGCTTCTAAACTGTTCCCATTCTCATTTTTAAAGCAGCCAGCATGACTGTAACTAGGAGACAATCAAATCATGTTTGAAATTTTACCTGTTATGTGGATATGATATTCCTCCTTGAAGATCTTCTGGAAGAAAGGAATCTTGAACTGCATATGAGGAGTATGCAAACCAGGAAGATTTACGTCAACGTCTCCCATGAAATGTGGAAATTCCCAGTCCTGTCAGAGAAAACCAACATGACAACATATCTGTGATTTGTTTCGTTCCTAAGCAGCAAAACACCAAAAATTGACTTTTTATAAGCACTTATTTTAAAATCATTTAAATGCAGCCAGCTGTTTTGTTCTGTGATGGTTGTTTTATGTACATTAGGTAGCACTATGCAATCAAAATCGAAATTAAGTCATAACTTATATCCTCAGATTTTCTCTTTAATGTGATAATAAGAAACCAATGCAGAATTGATGTGTATTAATATATGTTTCTTTCTTTCATTATGGAGATCTGATCTTAAATTTTTATAGGAAGGAAGTGATCCATATTTTATAAATATGGGGTAATTTAGTTATTTTTTGTTCCACTATTTTTTAAAAATAAGAAATTTATACCAGCATATTTTCTGTAAGAAGACAAAGAGGATCTAATTCATTTAACCAAGTTCCTCAATTCACATCAAGGGAGTTTTATTAATCATCTGTGCTAGCAACTATATGGAATGGAAAAATGCCAAAATGTTCCATCCTGTTCTCTTGCAATTTAGCATCAATTTGAACCAAATGATGGAGGGCCTGACATGCTAGCCTGAGAGATGCACAGTGAATTAATTCCAAAACTGTCATTAGTTATTTCCTTGTTGTCAAGGCAAAATCATGTGGGATGACCCTCCTTCTCACAAGAAAGGAAAAAAGATGCAAATGAGGATATTTTTAGGTGACTCATCTGCTCTTGGTTTTTGGATAGAAGTACCAAATTAAAGTCCATAACTAGCATGTGAAGGAGAAATACACTAAATAATGAAGAAACCTTTAAGCTGAATCCATGTTTTTATTTCCAGTAATGAAATTATCACTAAATTAACAAACAATTCTATATTTAGTGAATATTTTCTAAAGAACTTGGAGATGAAAAAATAACAAAATACTACTTTAAAATTTTAATCCACTATTTTGACATAAAAAGTTAAATTTTTCTGAGATTTCTCTATATGAAGCTAATAGAGGTGTGCTGATAATAATGTGCATGAATACTTCAGGAGTTTCCATAGCCATTCCACTTCCCTCTTTGCAGCAAATTCTGATTAAGGGAGAACAAACGTTAAAGGAAAGAATATGTGAGGGTGGTAATCAGGAACATTTTCAATGTTCATTAATTTTTGATCTATGGATAACTTTAAGCCAGTTATAAGAAATAAATATATAAGTATAAAATAAAATGATGCAATATCATCCTTTACTATTGGTGCATATGCCAGTATCCTGTTGGTCTTGTCACTCCTGGTTTTTCAGTTACCAGCAGCAAACAGACATGTAATTTTGGAAATCCAGAAAACCCAAAGCACTGATGCTGGATGAATTTGGAATATTTTGATCTAAAATATTAGTAGAAAATGGACTGGAATAATACTTGTGAACTACTGCATTTTATTAAAGTGCACTTTTTATTTCATTGATATCATCTTGCTCTATGTTACTCAGAAGACATTTGCAAAGAATTAAAATTGAATCTAGTCCTTTGCTATAATATAACTGACATCTGCCATAAAAAATTATGCTTGGCAATGATAACCAGATAATCTTTCACTAGTCCAGGATAAGAAATAGAAAACATTACCAATAGGGCAATTCCCTTTCTCACTTCTTGGTTTAAGGAAGAATGCAGGATTAACAGATACACACTACTATCTATATAAAATAGTCACACAATAAGGACCTACTGTGTGCATAGCACAGGGAACTATATTTAATTCCTTGTTAATGGAAAAAATCTGAAAAGAATCACTGAATCACTTTGCTGTATACGTGAAACTGACACAATATTGCAAATCAACTGCACTTCAATTAAAATAAAAAGGTGGGGAGTGAATACTTCTGGATAGTAATTGGGCAAGTGTACTTTTTTTTGAAAAGACGTTCTTGGACTGTTTTTGTTTTGCTTTTCATCTCATGAAATGAAAGCTTTCTACTGGGTATGAAATTGATTTTAGTTTGAAAGTAATCTCTAGAGATTTCTGTAGACTGGGATCAAATCCTCACCCTCACCTCCAAATAGTTCCTTAATTATATCCCAACTGTACTTGGAGATAGAAAGAGGCATTCAGCAAAAGTGGACTAGAGGACAGGAGAAAGTCTTCCTCTTCATCTAGAAGATGGCATTCCTTTCTTTTCTTTTCTTTTTTTTTTAAAGAGATGAAGGCAGAGAGTTTGGGGGGGAAATGTGAGAGTAGTATCTTACACCATCTAAGAAATTAAAAACAAAGAAAGAACTAATAAAAGAGATGACACAGAAAGTCTCTCAGATTCCCCCTTTATAGTGTCCAGGGGCTTCCCTGGTAGCTCAGTGGTAAAGCATCTGCTTGCCAATGCAGGAGACATGGGTTCGATCCCTGGTCTGGGAAGATCCCACATGCCTCAGAGCAGCTAAGCCTGTGCGCCACAGCTATTGAGCCTGTGCTTTAGATCCCAGGAGCCACAACTTCCGAAGCCTGCATACCCACAGTCCTGCTCCACAAAAGAAGTCCCTGCAGTGAGAAGCCCATAGACCGCCACTACAGCAGCCCTGACCGCCACAACTAGAGAGAAGCCTGCGCAGCAAGGGAGACCCAGTACAGCCAAACGATACATACACAAAATTACCAGCTTTGGGCTTCAAACACTGTTTTCCTGAGTCTTTTAACTCCCTGCCTCCATCCTCTCCCTGCTACTCTTGTTTTTGTAGTTTAGTTCCTCAGTCGTGTCCTGACTTGTTGCAACCCACGGACTGTAGCCCACCAGGCTCCTCTCTCCATAGGATTCTCCAGGCAAGAATTCTGGAGTGGGTTGCCATTCCCTTCTTCAGAGCATCTTCCTGATTTAGGGATCAAACCTGGGTCTCCTGCATTGCAGGCAGATTCTTAAACATCTGATTCACCAGGGAAGCCCCTTGTTCAGTTCCTACTCTGTATATTTCTGCAGACGCATTGTTGAATCAGTGTAAATTTTGACCTTGACTTAGAATGGAATGGTAATAATAAGCATTGCTACCACTTCCAACACATTTTGGGCTCATCTTAATGGAGGCATCGGAGGGTAGTGATACCTCAAGTACTTTTTTTTTTTTTTAATAGGAGATAAAAGAGGAAGAAGAATGATATTCTCAATCCCCACCTTCATCTCCAAATCCCACAGGCTTCTTGGGAAGGTGATATAATGCCTGGACAGCAACTAGCACATTGCTGGAGACAGAGGGAAGAGACAGAGAAATAGTCAACAAGCATGGCTGATTTCCCAGCATCATTCAAGGTCAGAGTGTCCCTGAGAGTAAAGCAGAGGCAGCAGATAGGGCTGTTTTCAGGAGAAGCACACACAGCTGCTTCAGGGTCCAAGTGGAAAAGGACGAAGGTCATCTTCTCCTGCCCTCATCCACTGCACAGTGCTGGCCTCCTGAGGTCTCTGATGGGACTTTGGTCAGAGCAGAGTCCTACTAGAGGGCCCCAGGAGCAGGACCACAGGGAAGGTCATTTCTCTCAAAGGGACACGTGAGTGAGCTCAGTGGAGGACAGAACAGGAGCAAACTGGTTTCTTGCGCAATGTGTGTCTCACGCTGTAGTGAGCTCCAGGAGTAACTGTGGCAGACTTTCACTGTGATGGGGGGGGCACTGCTACCGCGGAGCAGGAGCTGGTCACCTAGCAACACGTGAAACTGAAGCCGAAGAAACCCAAGGACACTTGGATCATAAACGTTCAAGCACTGGCAATGTTCTGGCATCATCCTAAGCTACATGTTTATATTTACATACAAAATAACCCCCAAATCTTGCTATTATTAACTCATTGTACAGAAAAGAAAAATTTGCCTCAGAGAGGTTAAATTCTGAGAAAATGAGGTAGCTGTCATATGGCAGAGCACAGGCAAAAGAATACATATTTTCTGCTGGGCCATGCTGCCTCTAACTATGAAAACTAATGACCCTTAACTGTTTTTGACTCATTACTAGAATTATCTATACCTGCTATACCTGTCCTGGGGGCTTCCCAGGTGGTAGAGTGGTAAAGAATCCACCAGCTAATGCAGGAGACACAGGAGACATGGGTTAGATCCCTGGCTTGGGAAGATCCCCTGGAGGAGAAAATGGCAACCTGCTCCAGTATTCTTGCCAGGATCATCTCATGGACAGAGGAGCCTGGTGGGCTACAGTCCATGGGGTCGCAAAGAGTCAGACATGACTGAGAAACTGAGCGGGCATGTACACGATACCTGTTCTTATTGAGAATCACTGACAAACAGTTATTGCATGTTTATCTCTCGCCAAAAGTCAGTTCCATGAGTGGCTTTAAATGATTTCCCCACCCCAACCCCAGAAGTTTCTCATATTTTATCCAACCCTAATTTGACCAAGAAGATCAACTGTAACTTTTTCTCCATTAATCAACTGTCCCAGAGGCCACTGATTTCCAATCAGATTGTTGAGTAGGTAGATTTGACCAACAGGAAATTACTAGCAGGTACTGAGATTCTCTTGACATCAAAACTATGGATGTATAGAAGTTCCACACACAGATTGTATGTACATGTTATGAGAGGCATGGTGTTCTTTCCTTCTGCATACATTTTAAAAATTATATTTTGAACATCAGATGAAAACACTGAATTAAGAGAATGACGAAGCAAAATGTATTCAGCTACCAAGACTGGGGTAGAGACAGGTTGGTCCTGTGATTTTATATTATAAGATGTTCATTTACTCTATTCTTTAAGGAATGCTATCAGTATTCAGTAATTCAAAGCTTCCTTACTATGGTCTCCTATCAAATCCAACAACGCCTGCAGCCGTCTGTCCCATTTGTGGCTCAGTGATGTGAGAATGATTTAAGTACATTGTGTCACTCACCCTACTCTAGTTATGATCAGCTTATGGTAATGAACAGACTTCCAACTTTGTATCTTGCTTCATATATGAGAAACAGCTAATTTTTATTCAGTTGGGTGTATTTCCCATATAAAAATAAATGAGAAATGTCATGGTATATATCTACTCAGATT